TTTTCTTTTTTTTTCTCTCTTTTTTCTTTCTCAATTTCGACTGGTAAGGTAAAGCACGTGTTATATAACCGACAGGGCGAGATCAATCAGACTCCGATTGAACGAGCTGGCCAAGAGTACGTTTTGGCTAAATTACGTAGTACTTATGTTAATACCGTCGTTTAACTTGTTCGGAGAACTTCGAACCGTAATAAACGATTAATTGAACTTTCTCGTGCTCCCGTCCGGAGGATATAAATGGCTCGAGTGACCACACAAAATGGGAAATTAACATAGACGTACCCCGTTTTCCCACGGTTATACGTTGCGAATTGACGTCGGAAATTAATACCGGGTGATTATTCGAACTTCGTCGTATCAGTTGTAGGGGATTTAACACGTTGATCGCCAATAACCGGCTTGATTTAAGATTATCCCGCGGACATCCGGAATGAATATACAGAACGCGAGGGTGTATGCCGTGGAATTATATCTCTTTCATCGGTGTACACGCCATTCACAGGATAGTGGAGCTTATCGTTCGAGTATACCGCGGTTATCGAATGCTTGCACTAGCAGCTCGTTGACCGCGAGATCACGGCGTGATTCATCGACCGCGACACGGAAGAAGTACAGAGAAGGGCATAAATGAAAAATAGGAAATCGAATACTTCCTTTCTTTTTTTTTATTTCGGCGCACGATTTTTCTCTTTTATGGAGGAGCTCGATGTAACCAGGAAGCGTACAACAAATATTTCATCCCGGCTTAGAAACGTGCTCTCGCTCTGCCCGAGTGGGTGGACCTCTCGAAAGTTCGCGCGTTTTATCGAGAGAGAGAGAGAGAGAGAGAGAGAGAGAAAGAGAGAGAAAGAAAAAAACAAAACTGACAAATACGAATTTGCTACTGACTTATGCAAAACCGACCCCCGGCCACGGTTCAACCCGGCGCTGAACGTTGGAAAATATTCAATAATTCATCGTTTAACAGGGGCAAATACAGCATTGGCGTATTGAAAATGAATAAAGTTAGAATTATGTTGTATGTGTGCGATTTTCCAGTATCGACTCTCTCAAAGGAACAAATCCCTATCGAAGTCTGATACATCGTTGGAAAGGGAAAAAACTCGGACGTGCCCTTGAGAGGAATCGTTCTCTTACAATTAGTTCTTTCGCGAATCGCCGAATTACTTTGTATTCTTCGGCACGTGCAACATTTGACGATCTTTCATTGGTAACAGGAGAAAGTTCAAGGTAAAACGTATTCCAACAATTTACGATTCTAAATAATGTCGATTGTGAATCAATGTGTTTCGAGGATCTATATCCGTGGTTTCCAACGTGGGGTCCACCAAGAGGGGCAGGAAATTATTTTTAAGGGGAGGAAATTCGAAAATGAGCTTCTTGGATTTTTCTTTAAACGAAAGTTTAACTTTCCAATTTTTTTTCTCCCGTGTTTTTCTTTAAGGAAGCTCGTTTAGAAGTTAATGGCCTTTTAAGCTTCCCACACGTCAAAAATTCACTTTTTGAATAATAAGAATTACGTGCCACAAGAGTGGTGCGTCAGGATCTCAGAGATAGCAAAAAAAAAAAATTGGGAATCGCTGATTCATACTTTCTATTAATTGCACTACGGTTCTACGTATATAATTCTTCTATTATAATAATATAATATTTCTATAATAATATTGTAACATTTCTATAATAATATTATAATATTTCTATAATAATCTATCGAACGAATCAGAATTTGAGATATTGTAGTACACTACATATTGCTTCTATAAACTACACTTCTATAAAAATTACGCTCTTTTTCTTCCCGCTTCCTCCAAATAAAGTTAAATCTTTAACTCTTTAAACTTGCTATATTTTCCATTTTCTAAAATTCTTAACACAGTATCGGTCGGTCACATCACGAAAATGCTACTTTGCACCACTATTCTCGTAAGACATATAAAAATGATTTCAAGCTTCGAATTCCAATACGTATTTTTTAAAAACTATTCCTTGTTGCTTGCAAGATGCTACTTACTTGGTTCATGACGTGGCAATTGTTATTTTTTGGAAAGAAACAAATTAACATCGATCGGTCGCACCCGAAATTAACTGAGAATTAAATTACGGGGGGACCTGGTTGCAAATTCTCTAAATTGTCTACACGCGAAAAGACATGAAAGACGTAGAAATGTAAAAGCTAACTTTCATAGTGTAATTATTAATTACTAATACTACGAACATAGTAAAATCTACGCGACACATAAAGACGATGAGAAAAATATGCGGCCGTCGAAGTGTTAACCTCCTGCGCTGAGATCGACAATTTTTTTTGTCCCAAAATTGCAATGTTTCCCCAGTTTTAAGTATATTTAAGTATGACACAGGCAAAAAATAGATTTGTTATTTATCAATAATAAATTTATTACTATTCAGTGACATCGTGCCGACGAGTTCAAAAAGAAAGCGACAAATTGATGTATACGATTCGGTCACTCGTTACGGTCCGCGATCAGCTGCCAGCGCAAGTGGTTAAACGATGAGGCGTAAGGGAGGATCGAGGATCAAAGCAACGTGTAAATCAGCACAAGCGAGAGAGGGGAAGAAAGAAAAGGCAAGCGTTACGTGAAGAAGCGCAAAGCGTAAAACAGAGCTCCTGTGCAGAATCTTACTGCACTCAGCCTCGTCTGAACCGTCCGAACAGTCTCGATGGCCGTCGCACATCCACGCGAGTGCCACGCATTCGCCATTCCCCGAGTGACACGTGAACTGATCCGCCGTGCAATTCTTCATCCCTACAAGATGGACAATCGATTGGACCCCGATTTTCATTCGTGACAAGATGCCAGCCGCACCGTGCGCGCGGCCAGATATCCCCTCTTGTGCCGGTGCACAATGCCATTCGACGAGATCTCATTCTCGTCTCGAGAACTCTCGCGAATTGCATCCCCAGGGTCAATTGCATTTCGCAAGAGAAAGAAAAGAAAAGAAAAGAAATATCTCCCGACCGTTTCATTCAAAAAATGTCACAACACAGCCACGACACCGAAAACGTTTCTTCTCTTCTCCTTTTTTCCGCCCCTTTTCCCTTCTCGTATCGAAACTCGTTCGTGTTAGACGAATTTCCAGCGATTTGAATTTCACTAAAAGCGACTGCGGAAAGCGCTGGTTTCACACGCGATTTGAATATTCTTTCGCGAAAGTTTTCCCCCGCCCGTCGGTTTTCGTTAGTCGAAGTCGGTCAACGGGTAGTCGTTTTGAATTCATAGAAGCTAATCAACTCGAAGACTCGATATACGAGTCGTCGAATTTAAGTTGGGGAACGTTGTTGTTACGTTACGGGTCGGTGTGTGTGTGTCCCGTACTCCAGTGTGAACATCGATCGTCCATTTTTCCAAACTTACGAGATCTTGCGGATTCGCGCGGCGAGAATGAACTTTCGAAAGAACGTTGCTCCTTGTGCAATTAACCGCGCACGCGGATGCTTTAAATTATTACCGGAAGATACGCGTAGCTAGCACGTAATCCGCCAGAGTGTACTTGTTAATGGATAACCTAAGTCGCGGTCCCGAGAAAGTTAGCGGCACAAGTGCTTCGACTTATTTCAATGAGCTCAGCTTGCCGCTGTGTGCCTGCTTAGCGTCAACAAAGTGAATACACGCGATTAATAATACAACGTTTGCTCGTAAATTTAAACGAAAACGGCGAAAGGATATCCGAAATAGACGTAGATATGAAAATAAATGGAAGAAAACAACAAAGATGAATAAAAAGTAAACGCGTTTTCGACCGTGTATCCATTTGTATCGATTTCTTTAAAGAGTCATCGAATAAGTAAAAAGAATAACATCGACAGGGGAATTGAAACAACGAATAAACGATGGTTGATACTGAAAAATAAAAAAAATAAAAACTGAAAAGAAAAAAACCATTAAGAGAAACGGATAGCAAAAAAACGTAGAACAGTTGTCGTGCCAAAGAACGACAATTTGTTGAGTGACAAAAAATCTCTTTAGATATCAAATATTTTTATTTAGATTGCACGATTATCAACTCGTTATCCAAAGTAAAGTGTACTTATTACACCCGTTGATAAATTAACTCCATAAAATGTGGACAATAGGAATTAGTTATGAAGTTAGAAAATAAGAAAGAAAGGTATAAAGAGATACACATTGTGAACCGAAAGCCATCCTACCTAAGCCGCTTAGGCAAGGATTGTAATAAATAATAATGCTTATTACACCTGTTACAGAAGACCAGACGGATCTGTTTCTCTTATTTATCAGTTTAACGTCTTGATACCTTCGTTTATTATATATTCAAAAATCCTTCCGCCGTAGACAAACTCGAGCGCCGTAAAAACCTACGCAGACAGAAACGAAGCAACCGTGCCACTTTACCGCAAAAGCTCGTCGCTTTTCCGAAAGAAACTCCATCCGGGACAGTTCGTGACGAAGAAAAAAGAGAGACGAAAAAAAAAAAAAAAAGGAGAAGAAGAGAATAATCGGCGAACCCGATATTTACTTTCCCATGGCAATTTATTTCATTCCACGATTCCGCTTTGATGGGGGACGCAATTTGGGTTTTCCAACTGAGCTGAGGGGATGCAATTTGCGATTCCAAGACCCCCCCTGGCTGATCCAAGACATTTTCCAGACTCTTTTATTCCACCATGGATTAAATCTCCCCCCCCCCTCCCTCCCATCCCTCCCTAGTCTGTCGCCTGTGTGTTCCGTAGTTTTCCCTCGTTTCTTTTCTCCGCCCACTCTTTTCGTTTTTCACTCGAAGAGGCGGCTTCCCCTTGGCTCCTTCCCTGGCTCGTTCCAGCGATCAACCTGCGACTCATCGATAACTTACTGCGGCAATTCTTCTCGTCCAGGCCGTTGGTGCAGTCGAGCTGAAGATCACACAGCCAGCTTTTCGGTATGCATTCCCCCGGGCTGCACTCGAACTCCGTTTCGCTGCACGGTTTCGACCCTTTCGATATCGCAATTCATTTCATCATTTCTCGTCGCTCGCGGGGACCCATTCTCTTTTTTTTTTTTTTTTTTTTTTTTTTTTGTTTCGCGACGAATCAGCCCGCGAACGGAAGCAAATTCATGCGCAATGTAACTATCTCGCCAACGATTTATCAGGCAGGCTGATTTATTAATTGGATTTATTAAACTCGGATTCCGAGCAAGCCTGTTTGTTCTGTCTCGCGCCGCAAGTGTGAAAATTATCATTCTTTCGATTTGAAATATACGTGAGATTTGAAGAACATAGTGAAATGCTAGAAGTGCAAAATAATTACACAGTAAATATTCTAATTGAAAAAGACAGAATGTGACGATAATAAGTCTTGATAATGCTCTTAACTCTCTCTCTCTCTTTCATTGGACTCTCTTCGGAGGGAGAAATATCAATGATCGTAGCTGCCATTTTCTATAGAAATTTTTTTTTTCACGAGTATCGATAATCTCAATGTTTTTGTTTTATCACTGCGTCTGAATTGTGATTATTATTAGATGGATACGATAAACAACAGAATTATATCTATAACCTTTTATAAATTTTCAATTTATAAATAACTATTATGTAATTTATTAGTTTTCAATTTTTAATTTATCAATAAGATATTTCCCAGACTGAAATTATTTAAAAAATTGTATAAAAGTTTTTTAAAATTATATAAAAAATTATTTTTTAAATACTAACTTAACGACGTTCGTAGCACACTTTGACTAATAGAAAAACGACATTTGAGAATACAACGGCACTCGTTTCTTCTCAATCTGTTTCAGACACGAGATTACGCAGAAATTTTGCAAATTACCTTCCGAGATGACGAGTTCTCGACAACGATTTAGCAATAAATGTTTCTGTTACTACACCGAATATTAATGAATTTTGTACTATAATACAAAGGGTGTAGCGAACAGAGGATAATGAAGACGGACTCAAACCACACGCCATCGTACGTGCGACTTTGCCAGAGAATTTTGTGAAATAAGTTTCCGTTACACACTGTCGCCGCAGGAATCCTTTGGAAGCTCTTTAGAATAGCTCTCGATGAATAGGATACAAGCATAGCTAACGAGTACAATATGTCTTTTGGATATTCGAACATTTACGTAACGCAAATTCGTTTCTTCTTTTTCTCCAATTTCTCGTGAAAAATCATACCACGCGTCGAACATCTCGACGATTTCTTCGATCGTGAGAAAGATCGATCTGTTCGATAAAACAAAAGGGGAGGGAAGATTGACTCGGCCGCGTTTTAAAAATGCATACGAGAGGGGCTGTGTAAAAGAAGATCAGCCCCTCTTGTAACCACCCTCTTGGAAGCTGATTAAATTCCAGAAAACCATAATACGGGATATTGCAAGTTGCTTAACTTTTCAGCCAAGCTGTTAATTTTAGAACAACGCGCAACTCTCCCGGATCGTGAGAGCGCTTAATAACATACCTTTGTAAAATCCTTCAAAAAGGCATAAACTACCAGCCACAAGTGGCGACTTCGAAGAGCGTGTTTACGTATCGTTTCTTTGGATCTCTATTTAAAAATATCGGAGATATCAAGCGCGGCGGAAATAAATATCTCGAGTGTAGAAATGTTTCTATAAAAATTTCAATTTCACAGCGACCGACTCCTTTCCTTTCCAAGTAAATAGAACGCAAGATCTAGGCAAAAGATCCAACTACAAACTGCAAAATTTAATTGCCATTCGTTACATTTATTCTCGTAGAGATTTCCCCTTTAAAAGTTATTCACGCCGTCAAGGAGAGCAATTACAAAGACCCTTTATTATCGTCGCGAACTTGCTCGCGATGCAACGCAATTTTTCACGCCGCTGGTTATATCATCAGGTTGTATCTCTCTCTCTCTCTCTTTCTCTCGCTGTCGCAAAATCGATACGTTCCGCGTGCAATTTCAAAGCAAGATTAACGACGAACGACATCAGAAGCGGTTCCGGTCACGGTCGATTCGACGTGTTTGCCGGATGTGCGCCAGAGGAGAAGGATAGGTTCGCCCGAATATTCGTTAACCTTTGACTCCAGTCGCACCATCGTTCGCAATTTCACGTATTAGCCGCGTGAATGCCGCATCAGTCATTAATCGATTTTAACAGCCGTTCTGGCAATATCGATCTTCGCAAGATTTGTACACTTTCTCTCACACGTGAAATTATTCGTTTTAACGTGATAGATTTGAAAAAGTTGAAGTTACTGTAATTGAAAGATATTGCAAAGGAGGAGAAGAAGATTTTTGTAATGAACAGAATACACTCCTAAGATGTTGTTTCCTAAACGTTACGTTGCTATTTTGAAGAAAAAATAGCAACATAGGCAACGCTGGCATAAGAAAATTCTCCAATTTCTATAATATTTTTTTTGAACTGAAGAAGAAGAATATTTCCACGATATTTTTAGATATTTTCAACCGAAGAAGGATCGTCCCTTTCGATTTATGTAATAAACAGAATACACTCCCAAAATACTGACATTGCATTGCCATTCTGCACGAAGAAAACCCTCTATCCAATTTCTATGTTCAGCAATTTTTTGTTTCCTTAATTAACCAGTGACTTCCAGTTCTTCCAAAGCCAGAAAAAAGCAAAAAGTTTGCAGTCTATTCGGGGAAAGAACCGATCTCGTCGACCAAAATATAACGAATCTTCCCCGATTCACCCCATTAAGCAGCACGAGGGAAGGTTTCTCTTCCAACGACCTACGTATATTCCGCGTTCTATCCAATTTTTGCCGATATTCTTTTTTTCTTTTCGATTAAAAGAACGCCACGCGAAAGCCAACATATTTTGCACGTATTCTCGCGTAAACATTTTGTACGTGCCGCCAATTCCGTATATATTCTCAATTAATCGCCCCCGCGTACGCGAAATAACTGGAGCAGCCTCGTGATCCTGCTCCTTTCTTCCTTTTTTTTTTTTTACTTATTTTTACGACTACCTATTTTTGTGCTTCTCCTTTCGCAGACTTCCCATCGCCGTATCGTCCTATCTTCCTGTCCCTTCTCCCCTCGATTCTTTCATCGGCCTCTACGTAATTGGCTCCGCAATATTGAAACCGTCCAAAGAGTTTCAGCGTCGCGGAATTAATATTAAAACCGCTACTGTTGCCGCACAATAATGAACAACCACGAAGAAAACTGGATCGATGACAAAATGGAGACCGATTGATCAATTACCCAGACATCGTTCGGCATCGATATCGATTAGACCCGCTCGAAACATTCGAGACGTTTGCTTGTTCGGGATAAGCGCGAGTTATGCAAGTGAAACGGGCCGAGATAAGTGCACAATCGTACCTGCATCAGGGAAGGTGGCCGGACAATGAGCTACGAAAAATTATACAGCCACGCGGATTTATCTCGCGAAACATTTTCTACCAGAAAGCAAAGCAACAAGAATGTAGATACGTACTTTGGGGTGCGAAAGTCTCATTGCTCGAAAATTCTGTTTCTGAATTTCTTTGTCTAGTGGCTCTAAACGTGAAATGTAAAACAGAGCGGGGCTAACTGGCGGCCCGTGTGGAGCTTGCCCCCACTTTTCTAATCACTACCGCTACCCCCTCCACTGCAAATTTCAGTGAGAGATCGATGCAGTGGAGGGGGTAGCGCTAGGAATCAGAAGAGTGGGAGCAAGGGCCTCCGAGCCGCCAGTTAGCCGGCTTTGACGAAAAATAGGGTAGGATTTTGTGTGCGTGTGTTTTAAGAATAAAATTTTCTTTAGAAAGTGGCAAGTCGTATCAAATCTTGAGGGAGTAAAGAGTATTCGGACTTACTCGGTTTTCCTTTTATTTACTTTAATATTAACAAACTTTATACTTATTGTAAACCACGTGGGTAAAATTCTGTGTTATTGTTTCCTACAATAGTCACTCACTTGTTATCTTCCCCTTTCATAAGAACTTTCCCCAGAAGTTCTTTCATTCGAGCAAGTAGAAATTAACAGAAGCATACTACGCGCCGGTTAGAGTGGCTTTAATGCTTTAAAACAGCGGTTCTCAGCCTATGGCACGTGAAAATAATATTGGTAATAGCGAAAAGAAAAGAAATTGAAACACAAAAACGAATTACAGAGTTTTTGATTTACAAAAAGAGACTTACGTGAAAATTTTTGAGAAGTAGGTGGTAGTTTATGAGAGGAGCTTATGCTCATAAATGAAAGGCCAAATCGAGGGATACGAGAGAGAAACAAGGGAACCTTGGCTGCTTTAAATCGTACGAAATAATATTTGTAATTATTCTCTTTCCTTAAGATATCGCTGTGTTTTCACTGATTAACAGATCGATCGGCGCAGAAAGGAAGAACTGACGATATCGAATTAAAATTGTCGATCAAATTGGTTGCAATTGTGAAAAAGATCGTTTCTTTTTTTTTTTTTGTTAATTAGAGCAACGCCTTTTAATGAGTAAATTAGTACGATGAAAACATTGACGATTTTGAACGTAGTATCAACTCTTGTCTTTCCTAGTTAACGGCTTAATTGACGCAGATGTAAATTCAATTTTGTCATCAGGTTAATTAACGTGTTATTCATTTAATTACCGCCGCATAGGCAGTAGGTACTGATAATTAAAGTTTTAACAAACGTCGAGAACGCAATCGATACGTACTTTTGCGTTACACGAGTGCTTTCGCGTTTTCACGAGCTCCCGTGCCCCGAGATAGAAAATTTTTGTTACTTTCGTTTCGTTTCGATTTCTTACACTCTTTATTCGTCAAATAAACAGTCGAAAATAATGCAGTGTCGATATCGCTGTGAATATTACAGAATCTTCACCGAAAAGATAAACAAATTGTCATAACTCGCGCTTTATGATTCGAGCTACGAACGATTTGATCGCCTCGCGTGATTATTAAATATATTCTTACCGACATTGACGTTTGATTTGTAATTAAATATATACTCTATGTGTCACAGCGCAGAAACTAAAACGCATAAACGCACTTCGTGTGCTGTGGAGCATTCGC